TTTGGTCAGGGACAGCCCAAAATCACACGGTGCAAAGGGTTCTTAGCTGAAAAGTAGTAGATCAATTGATTTGATTATAAAGAAATAATCCTAACTTCCAGCCTTTAAGAATTATGTGACAATGTTGTGGTATACCAAAGCGTGGTTTTCTTCAAAGAAAAGGAGGATCAATAAATTCTTAGTACAGTATTCACATTTTTATTATGCTTCAAAGACTGTGAGTCTGCGAGCGAGTGTCTTAAGGAAATGCCAGGACGTGTTGCCCTCCATTGATCTGTCACATTCCTCCAGGCCTCGTCCCTCGACTCACTGCCATGTAGTAAATGAATGGACTTTCTCAAAAGCAGAAGCTACACAGGGAGCAGTGAACGCTTAGCTGGAATATCACTTGTTTCTGAAGGAGGCACTTAAAATTCAGTATCTTCTTATAAATGAGGCTTATTTACTTATGCTAAGGGTCTCTTAGACACAGTTCTTCGAGTCTGCGGGACAGAGGGAAGCGATAGTAGAGAGGTAGAGAGATGAAGACAAAAAAATAGGTGACAGTGAAGAAAGAGTGGGATGGGGGAGTACCCTGCAGCATACTGGATAAAAGAGGAGAAGAAAGGGGGAAACATCCTGATTTAGTAATGATGCATCTCCTCTTTCTTGTCTCTCTTGGTCCCGTCTCCATCTGGTATTTCACCCTGAGGTGGTGGGCACACAGCAGCACCACATCACTGCCTTTTAAAGCCCCACCTTTTGGCTCCAACTTTCCCTTGTCTTCCCCATGTCTTTCATCCCTCGCTTCCTCTCTCTTGCCTTTTTAATATTTCTGCAAGATCAGAGGCTTCCTACTTTTTCTGTCTGTCTCTTATCAGAGGCGCAAACTTGCGGAAGCAGCACTCTCCTTTTGAATTGGAAATGATGTCTTTTTTTCATGCCATCATTAGGCTCACAGTATGAATTGAACATTTACATCTATTTCCCATTGAGAGTGCCATGTAATGAAACATGGCACTGGCGTTTCGTTTTTTAATACGTTTCCCTTGTACTTCTGTTGTTTCTTTTAAAGGCTGGATGTTTGTTTATCCATTCAATGGCACATTTTTTATTCACCGTCTCATTTCTGTGCTCTTTGTTCAACTCTTGAAGTAATAAGAGGTAATGTTTAACAAGGGATTGGTGGATTTTTTTTTTTTACCTCAAGTGCGTATTTGAGTGCAGGCATCTGTTTAGGCACAAATAAACGTAAAGTCTGAGGAGTCGAGATGAGGAGAGAGGAGAGTACAAATAATGTTGGTGTTGAAGAAAAAGGAAGAGGAGGAAGAAAGGCAGGGATAAGCTAACCTTTTTTCTTCCCGACAGTGAGCAAAGAGAATGTCAAAACCTGGTGACATTTGGGATTCATACAAGGATGATTGACACCAACTTTTACCTGGATGTGTATGGGAGACTGAGCTGTGCATACCAGCTGTGTGTGTGTGTGTGTGTGTGTGTGTGTGTGTGTNGGGGGGGGGGGGGGGGGGGGGGGGGGGGGGGGGGGGGGGGGGGGGGGGGGGGGGGGGGGGCATGATTGACATGGTAAATTGGAAAGGTCAACTGGTGCTAGTGTTTTGGTGCAGACAGGCAGACAGCAGGAAGATGTAACCTTCCCAGAGTCCACATTTATGGAGAGAGGGAGAATCTGAGCAGAACGCTGGATTCGGGGGTTGCAGAGTGTCGAGTTGTGTGAAAACTAAGATTTAATATGTAAACCTGCTCACTGCTGTTTATATGCTGTGTATAAATGATAACTCTCCTGAATTCTGGACAGATTTACAAAGTGAGACAGAGTACTGGGTATCAGGAGAGGAAGCATACGGACTAAGAAATTTTACCATCTAGGTCCATCAGGAATTTTGCTGAGGTCTTAGGTCAACACTCCAGCCAGCTTATTATTTTATCGGACACAAAAATGTGTGTGTGTGTGTTTCAGTGTGTGTAGATGAGGTCCACACGTCCTTGTGTTTCTCTCTGTGAATGTGTGAGGATTGGAAATTGGAGTTTTACATATGAATTTCAAATAGGCGCATGTGTGTGTGCGTGTGTGTGTGTGTGTGTGTGTGTGTGTGTGTGTGTGTGTGTTGCAGAGCAAGGACCAGAGTGAAGGGAGAGTGAGATTGACAGGGTAAATTGGAATGGTAAGGGTTTTGAGGTTGAACTCTGGGTTTTAAAACAGCCAAGAGAGAGAAAGAAAAGACCCAAATGTGTTGCTAAAAAAGTATCCTTTCGCTTGGGGAAGTGTGACAGTGGATGCCGACGTGGGTGGATGGGGAGAACGAAGCAAGGCTGTGCAAGGGAATAGATTGTCACCAAGGGCAAAGGGGTGTCTGGTTGTATGTAGATGGAGAGGAAGGGAGGAAGGAAGGCCCGGCGGGGCTGTTTGTGCATCGAGAGGTGGTGGAGATGGGGGTGGGTGGGAGGGGTGAGTCATGGAGGGGTTGGGGGGTGCTGCAGCAAATAGGTGACCCACAGCTGGGGACTGAAGGGTCAGCACCTGCACAGGTCAGCTGGGAAGTTAACACAGTGAGACATGACACACAAAGCAACAGTAGCCTTCACACACATGAAAGGACATGTACAGCACACAGTATTGTTGTATTGAATAGCAGACGCAACACACAAATACTGTACTTACTCCCTGTTGTACTCTCACAAACACATAGACACCCCACATACACACACACACTGTGGCAAGCACACACAAAGGACATGGTGACCTGCTTGTTTGTAGGTCCTTCAGGCAGCTGAATACACAATAGTGAATTCATGAATACAAATTATACTCAAGACCGAAACACACTTAGGCACACACTAATATTTTCACATCACCTTAAACTGTATTTTAAACACATCATATTACTATCAGCCATGATAGCCTGTTTTTGTTTTCATTTAGGGCTAAGAGTCAGATCAGTGAAACATCATCTGCCTGCACCACAGCAGTTATCTCCGCAGTGAAATGCACATCAATAAACACATTGATTAAGACAGCAAATGATCCAAAGCATTTCAAACAATGAGGGAAGTGAAAGTTACTGGAAAATATGTTTGGTGGATTCAGCTCTGTAAACGTCAGATGCTTTGTTTTGTTGTGAACACGCACACGCACTAGCTCGCTCTCTCTCTGTTGTCCCCTGATGTCCCCATTGTTTCTCTGTTCCCATTTGAAACTGAAGATGACTCAGTATGACACATCATTTGAATACACACGCAGAATTGTATGCCCCCCAGACCAAAGCCTGCGTGTGTCTGTTTGTGTGTCAGTGGGCATTTGTGTATGTGTGTGTGTGTGCACTGACCCTCTTTTAGACACTCCAAAATAATAGACTACCCAATACTGCTACTTAACAGCCCAAACTGTGCTCCTGTTAAACAGCTGTGTTTAGGTGCGTTTACAATAAGTATTGTATAAGCATTGCTGTTTTTTTTTATACCAATGTCTCTGAGGTATTGTTTAAATGTATATATGTTTGAGTCTGAGGAAAACTGATGTACAGCCAATATGTGTTGTTGTTGTTGTTGTTGTTGTTGTTGTTGTTGTTTTTAATCCTGTAGCTACGATAATAATGGTTGTCAAATTTATGTACCTCAACAAAGCAGTGTGCCTTGATCTTTAGAGAGCAGTATTATGCCTACAGTACCTGTGTATCAGCAACACCTGAGCCAAGTTTTTTGGGATCTGGTCCAAGTCCGTCTTCTCTCTCCGGTGAATCTTTCCACATCAATTTCAGGAGTCATACTCTCGCAGTTAAACTTTCACTCATACCATATCAATAATTTAGGATTATAAACTTCACGGTTATGAGCCAGGACCTCCAGTGTTTGGATCAAGTAGCTCCCAAAAAGTAAGCAAGGTTTAGTAGTTTCACCTGTTATGTCTAACATGTCAACTGTTTTGTCTAAAGTCATCTATTGACAAAAATGTGATTTATATCATAAATTATGTGATCAAAAACGGATAGATCCAAACTTTATTGCCAGCTCTGAGCACTTGTCCGTTTCTGATACTCCATGGACACATTTCGCTTGGTAACAGGAGGTCGTTTACAACAGATAATCTTTATTTTCATCAGAAATGATGAATGCAAGTGTTTGTGCTTTTCTTTCCTCTCTCAGCTTTCTTTAAGTAAATTTTGTAGCTGCTTTTGTTTTTCTTTCTCCTCAGCTTGCTTACTCACTCTTCATCACTTAGCCCATGCTGTACACAGAGTGTGCGAGTGTGTCAGTCGCATAGGCTGAACCAACTTTGCGCCGATGCCGATGTGAAACATCAGAATCTAAATTAATGCCGTGACGCACATTTTTCCACACTTACACTCGCTTAGATGAAACACATCTACACACACAATCACACACCCGGTATTCAAGAGTTGAGTGAGTGGCTGAGTGGCTGAATAAGGGGTAGTGTATTGATAGATGAATAGTGAATGTAGATTTTCTGCCAGTAGAATGTCAATGCCATCATTTCCTAGCAGCCTACAGTCTTGCTACCTCTAGACTTATGACAAACATGGGGAGAAAGGCAGAGGGGGGAAGATAGAGGGGGACAAGAAAGGAGTGAATGAGAGAGACAAAATTTGGTAGCTGGCAGTTGATGGATGGGCTGCAAACAGCTTGTCTTCCTCTGGACTCCATGATAACATGCAGTTCTCTCTTCCTCTCTGCCTCTTCCTCCCTCTCATCCATATCTTGCACTCTGTCTGTATTTGTTTTTTCCTCCTTCTCAGAGAACAGAGTCTCCTCTTTCTGTGTGCCTACTCAACTCTGAGATGCCTCAGAGCTGCTGATTTGTGAAAGCCTGTATTTTCTTTTTGGCATTTTTAAAAGTGTATTTGCTAAATGTGTCTTTTTGCTGCACCCCAAGGAAACACTTGAAATCTAAATTATATCTCTCCTGTTTTCCCTCTTTCCCCCAACTCCCCACCTCCCCTTTTGTCCCACTTCTCTTCATCTCATTCTCTCTGGCTGATGGACAGTTGGCAAGAAGAACCGCGGGTCAACAGGTAAAGAACCCATTTACATTTACATTATCTTCCCTGCTCTTTCTGCTCCGGCTCCCTCTTACTCTCTCTCTATCTAAGCAGAGACAAATATTGCTGCGACCCTTTACTCCCACTAGAAGGTCAGAGCCAAGGGTTGCTCAGCTAAATGCTTTGCTGCAGGTCACGTTGGCAGCAGTGGTCGGTACACACTGTAAAAGATGGTCCACCTGTTTTCAGCCTTGTGGCCAGTAAGACAAACCTACAGCGGGACACTTGTAACCTCAAGGTCAGCCTGCTGTAGGCCTGCATCTATTGGAAATAATGTAGAATACTCACAGTGTCTATTCAACATACAACTTCTTGTGGTTTAGCATGGCCTTGGAAAGTTTTACAAGGAAAGCTTTGGTTTCGTTGTGCGTCTCTTTTCTGTAGCTTGCTAGCATCTTCAGTATGGCAACCTTGGTTTATTTTCCCTGTGTTATAGACTGAACACTGGACAAGGATTACATCAGACAAAATCTGAGGCTTGATGTTGTTTAATCCAGTCAGCCAGTTTATGTGGAAATAATTATCAAAGCAACATTATGCATTTGTTACCTTAAAATAACAGCTTCAACATCATTTAGATGTTAGATGGACTTGTAATAGGGAGCATGGCACCTCTTCCATTCTCATCCCAAACTTTGGTGAGTGGGCAGGATCTCAAGGGAGAAGTCCTTAATGTTGCGCAGCATGACAACAAACACCACCAGCTAGCTATAAGAAGAGATTAGTTTAGTTTTATCTTTTTGTTGGTATCTTTAGTCCTGCTGCCCCTGTTGTGTGTGTAATTGTAGACTCAAGTTTTATACACAAGGTGTTGTAAACTTTTTGTGTAATTGTCTCAATAAACTTGGTAGAAAAAGAAAAGAAGCTAACGTTGGCTCTGTATTCTCTGTACAGCCTCATGGCAGAGGTGAAGGATCATGGATGTAATAATACAAACCACATACGCTATTAGCAATGCATGAATTATGCCATGTAATTGAGCAACTCATGCAGGTATGGAAACTGTTTATACTGTCTCAATGTTAGCTGTAGAGCTCTGTCTCTGTCTGTCTCTAATGGGAGAACAATCCCTTCAGTCCCATCTTTCAATGTTACATGAAAGCTTGTAGTGTAGGCCGTAACCTTCTCAGTGTCATCCCTGTCTCATACAGTTTAGTAGTTTTCCAGATGCCAAACATTCAAACGCTTAGTAAACTTATATGTACATGGGCTGAAAATGTTAGCAATATTTCAGCTTTAAAAAATCTTACTGTCATTCTTTTTTTGTTATTCTGTCTGTTAAGTTTGTAAAGTCAAATTTGTGTAAAATCTTGTACTATTAAGCCCCGTTTCCACCAAATACTGTCGGTATGGTACCTTTGGAACCTAAAGTAACCCTTCAGACATGGTACCTAGACCCTAGTGTTTCCACCGCAAACAGTACTCTTAAATGTGGGCAGGGTTGTTGTCACTCACTGCTCCGTCCAGCACTCTCTGTATTTCCTCATTACCGGTGACACAGATGGAAGTCTGCACCACAGACGAACGAGGCTGCATGCAGACATTTTCACAACAAAATAAAACAGGCTGCAGTGAGAGTCTGTCTCCATGGGATATTTAAAAATAGCGGGTTTGTGCATTTAGTCCTTTTAAAGCAAGCTCAGGGGTTTAGTGTTGCCGGAGCCCACAGGAACAACGCTCCATAGCGCTTGTCTTTTTCTTAGAGTGAGGATTAGAATATATGCCATTCACATAATACTGTCAAAATTAATATATATAAATGCTTGAAGATCCACTTATTACTAAAAGTGTATGTCATATAAAAGCGAACAAAGTAATGGTCAAAGTTGTCACAGAGAAATTTAAGGTGTGGTAACTCCAGCTGCTGCAAGAGGCAGGAAAACATCCTCTCATTTTATAGTTACAGTCTACTAATAAAACATGGTATGAACAGTGGTTACATGAGTCTCAAAACCAGCCACAGCTCAGACCTAAGCAGAGTGACCGTCCACTACTGATGAATCAACGGACTGCAGTGTTCACAGCTCCACCTTTTCTTACCAGATCTGTGTGCTAGGTACCCCAACAGAAGGGGTAGCAAAAATGGGAACAGTATGGAACGGTTCCATTGGTACCATCCACAACTTTTCACAGTGGAAACGGAAAAAAAGCTTACTGAACTTAACTGTACCGTACTGTACCGCTCGGTGGAAACAGGGCTTTACTCTACGTATCAGTCGACATAGTTCTTTGGATTCTGACTTACTATTTTCAGATCCTTCAGCTGGTCAACAAATGTATGTGTGCAGCTGTCCATGACACTCCATGAGACAGGGATGACACTGATAAGGTGACAGATGGAGTCGCAGTCTTTCATAAATTACATCAGCAGGGATGTAGACTCTGCTGTCGAATTGTTGTATCATGTTAGCTGTCAGACAGATCACTACAGCTCACATCACAACAGTATAAACAGTTTGCAACTCTGCAGATGCAATTTGTATTTGTGACAGCTGTGTACCTCTCAGAAACTCAGAAATCACAAAAATACCAATTCTTGCATTATATTGCTTTCAGACAGTGTTAATGTTTGGCATCAAGGTTCTAACCTTGCAGTGGGAAGTAGTTATAATAACTTCCTGCCTTGAGGAACTTTAACTCAGAGCCACTCCAGGTGGATACTGGAGTGGAGGTGGGTCTTTGTAGATGCTATATGAGCAGCAGCAGCAGCAGCAGCAGCAGCACTGGTGTCAGCATAGTTTTCTGGTTAACTGGGTGGCAGCGAAAAAAGTGAGCAGAGCACTGATGGCATTCGCACACTGCCATAATGAAAAGGGGTGTGAAGGACATTGCAGCAGGAGGAGTTTGCCATTCTAGTGTGGTGGCAGACTCAAGACAACTGTCTGAACTAACTCGCAGGCATTGCCTCATTCTGCTACATCAAACATGCTAACTAATTTTCCCTACAGCACCACTTGAGAGTCTATTACCTGAGCTCGGCTAAAACACACCTAGGTGCCAGTCTTTCTCTCCCCGGCAGTCAAGCAGCCTCTCGCTGCAGATTCACACCGAGCCAAAGCACTTGCAAAGAGAGTGTTTATCTCTGCTGATATATAAACATTGAGTCACAGAGAACACAGAGTGCTTGAGCCCTGCTATAACGTTTCTTCATGGGTACACACTGTTATTATTACATTTGTGAAGTACTGACATATTGCTATTTCCTCCTCTTAGAGTAATAACCATGTGTAAATGTTTAAGTGCCTTAATTTCCTCCGGAAGAATTATTCTCCTGAGCCACTGTCATGTGTTGATGATTTTCAGAATTATGGGGGAGAAAAGATATTTTATTTCCTCACTGTACCAAAAAAAGTTTGCAGGCAATTGCACATGCCCTTATTCCGGTATAGTGGTGATGAAATGTTACCTCATTATGTCATTGTGGGTTTTGTGAAGCAGCCAAAATACCACAACTAATATAATACTCAAAATTAATCAAATAATCATTGAGCACTCCCGAGAGCTTAACTCCTGCCCTGCCTCGCCATTACTGCTACATGTTTCTTGTGTCTTCCTCTCTTTCTTTCCCGTCTTTCCATCTTCCTCCCTCCATCACTTGTGTGGCCCGATGACAGAGATAGATAGAGGGTTTGGCAGCTGAAGGAAGAGATGAATATTTAAAATCGGGCATCTTTCTCGGTCCTCTCACTGCTTCCCATTGTCTGTGTCTGTCTCCCCCTGGGGCTTGGATCTTCTGCTCTTGGTATGGTGTGGCTTTGCGTGAGTGTGTGTGTGTGTGTGTGTGTGTGTGTGTGTGTGTGTGTGTGTGTGTGTGTGTGTGGCATGTCTTGGCTTGTGGTTTTATATTGGCATTCTAAGGCAAGTGTAGTCAGACGATGACACTTAGCTGTCAGCATGCAGCATTAATGAGCGCAGTGACACGCACAAACACTCGCCCCACTCTCACACACATGTGGTGCTCTCAAGAGAGATCAGCAAATGATCACCTTCTCCTCTCCATTTATTTTTGTATACCCTCCAAAAAAACTCTTTAGAAAATTTAAAGGAAGCTCTCCGTTTCCTTTAACCTCTCACATCCAGTGTCCCTCATTTCCAACTTTCTTCACTTTTTTTTTTTTTTTTTTGTCGCTTTCTGTCTTAAAAGCTCACCCTCTTTCCTTCTCTCAAACTCTTCCTCTCGCTCTGTTGTGTGTGCGGTCTCAGTGTGATATGTGTTAGTTGGCTGTGAACCCTGCAGACACATATCTGACAACTCTATTAATACACAGTCAGCTAACTCCAGCCTCCTCCTGTGTGCATGTGTGTGTGTGTGTGTGTGTGTGTGTGTGTGTGTGTGTGTGTGTGTGTGTGTGTGTGCGTGCTCAGTCAGTCCCTCTGCTCTCTAGGTCTCTGCAGAGATTTGTTTGAAAGGCTTAAAACACACAGATCTCCAGTCATAGAAAGATCACACACGCGCTCACACACCGACTGACTCACTGACACAATAGGGAGTGTGGAGTGACTGACAGATTTAATAGGAGAACAAGCTGTAATCTGAGAGAATCCATTCGAAGAGGGATTTCATTCTAATCTGTGGATGGAATAGCCTTTCATCTCTCTCTCCCTCTCTCCGTTTCTCTGTCTATCTCTCTCGCCTTCTATTTATCCATCTCTATCTCTTTCCTGCCCTAAAGCTGCACCAATCCTTTTAACCAGCCCTGTTTTTTTTTTTTATCGTTCCCATCCTTGATTTAATTTGGGATTTTTCTACTTCTATCCGAATCCCCCCCCCCCCCCCCCCCCCCCCCCCCCCCCCCCCCCCCCCCCCCCCCCCCCCCCAACACACACGCACACTCACACAGCTGTGTCACCTCAGCAGCACTTAACTGTCAATCAGCAATGATTACACTGACGAGAGCATTGTAACGTTGCAATGCGTCAGCGTCTCTCTGGTGCTAAATTATCCCCGCATCCATGTGCACACAGGCAGACGCACAAAAAGTAAACTCTTTCCTCTGTTCTCATCTATTTTGATTTATTTTTTTAAACTGCTTTAACGGCTCTCCTTTTTTTATCATCCCTCTCTCTTTAATGAAGCTTTTCAGCCCCAAGTTGTTGTTGTGATATTGCTTTGTTATACGACAGCCCTCCCCTGCATTTTTTTCCCTTTCCCTCCATCACTCCTGCTCTCCCTCTCTCCGCCACATGGTGTTTCTCATTTGCTAAATGAGGAATCCAATAGAGTTAGATTAAACTTCTGGACTCTCTTTGTAGAATCTTTACAGGGAGCCTTTTAGCTGCCACAATAACACTGCCTGCCAGTTTGAATATTTATCCTTGTTTAGGTTGAGGAAGATGAATTTAATAATCCCTGTTTAAACAACAAAAAGGAAGAGATAAGAGGATGATAGGGAGTAAAAGAGGGAAGACAGGCAGCAGGGAATGAGAGATACAGACGAGATGAAATGATAGAGATTTCCCCAGAGAAAGAGGATGTTAGACACGCTGACAGAGAGAAAAGAAGAGCGCAGATCACACAACCATATGGCATTTTGCTTTCCCCTCTACTTCTACCATCATGTCTGTCACTCCAGGAAGAAGAAGACCATCTGCACAGTCCCCGATCTACATATACACTCCATCTCTCTCCTCTGAGCCCTTTTCTTTTCCCTCCTTGTTCTCCCATGTCATACCAGTGTTCCTGCTGTCCTGATTTGCCTGTCTGCTCCCTTCAGATTCACAGCCCAGAGTTAACAGGTTGGGTTCGCGTCCCCCCTTCGCTCATTATCGGCGGACACCGCTGCCATTAAGTCTCCACTGATGGCAACTACTCCCCTGCCTGACCTCTGCTTCCCACAGTGGACAGCTAATGGACACTCTCCTCTTGCTCTACATCTACCTCTGCTCGTCCACCATCCCTCTTGTCTCTGTCTATCTTCCACCCACTCCTTCACTGCTACCCATCTTTAGTTCTCCAACATCAAACCTTTCGAAGTTTAACACACACCATTCAAGATGTCGATCTCTGCACAATAAGATTAAAGACATAAAAGAGTTTTGTGTGTATATTTACCGTGTGTGTGTGTGTGTGTGTGTATGTGTGTGTCTGTGTGTGTGTGTGTGTGTGGAGAAATAGGGAGAGAGTGATAGAGACCTCCACTATTACTTCCCATCGCTCTTTTTTGTGTCACCTCACTTATCTTCCCCATTAATGACTCAATCTCTACGCTGAGTTAGAGCATCAGTGAGTGTCAAGACAGTAGAGAGTGTGCATGTGTGTGTGTGTGCGTGCACGCGCGTGCTATCATTTGCCTGTCTTCATGTTCCCGCATGTCTTATTCCGTGTGACAGTGGGATATGACTTTTCGGCTCTTTCTCTCCGATTAAAAAAAAAGAGAAAAGAGAGAGAGAATGAGAAGGAGGAATAAAGAGCAGCGAGTTAATTACCACCTTTTCCTCCTTCCCTTCAAAGGGGAGATCAAAGCTGCTCCTCGCCTCCCCCTGCCTTCGCTCCATACCCAACTTCCTCACACCCAGACCTAGCCTGTTAATTTGTAGTCCCTACTCCTCCCTCATTCATCGGTTCAGTATATCCATGGAAAACCCAATGATGTTCATACCAATGCACACCCATCACACTAACAGTTATATATAGGCTTCACACAGTCTGTAAAACATTGCTAAACATTATTTTCTATTTGCCCATTCTACTGTTTTTGTACTATTTTGCTGAGCAGATGTTTCAAACTGATAACAATCCTGGTGTGTCCTTTTCTTATGAGAGGCTATTCCCACCATAAATCATACTCAAACAACACACACAATCACAATCCCGCACACACACCACCATACTCTCCCACACACCTTTTAGGCCATAAATCATCCTTCACATACTCTCACCACTGTACTCTTCCCTAAACACTATCATTGTAACTCACACACACCATCTTACTGTCTCCAATACATCATTATAGTCTGTATGATAATGTGTTTCAGACAGAACAGTGGCGTGTTTGACAAAGAGTGATATTGTTTATAAGAGAGAATTATGGGATGTGTCTGGGATAAGAGACAATGGCTGTTTAGGAGTAGTGGAAATAAATGTTTCACTCAAATTCTTTTTTTTTTTGTCAGTCTCTGACACTCAATCACACATACTGTCATCCTTACTTACACACTGTCAATCACTTACTATTATTCTCTCTTATATACCATCATTCTTTCATCTTCTATAATTTTCTTTCACTTTTTTTTACCACTGTCCTGACATACACTGTACTATCATTCTCTCCTGTGTATATTTTTATTGAGCATATTTGTGTGTGTGTGTGTGTGTGTGTGTGAGTGTGTGTGTGTTAAGCTGTACAAATTTCATTAATGTCGTACATCTGCTACAATTGAATCACTCTACATGGCCAAAGTGTGGCTTCTATTCTCACAATGTATGGTTCAATTGACCAGTCACAATGTGTTTGCTCACAGCGAACATGAACAGGGATGGAGTTGGTTTTGTCGGGACAAATTAAATAAAGTCTGTTTTGATCACGCTGACTGCGTCCTCATAAAGGCTGACAAAAGAGAAATAAGATAGTGTTACTTTGTACAAATCTCTTTTGAACAGAAAATAAGAGGAATATTTAGATGGCTGGAAGATGCAGACGGTTCAGTCCATCTGTTTTACAGCAAAGTTTAGTTTTATCAACCCAAATGCCAGAGTAAATGTTGGCACTGTGCGTTTCTGAAAATCACAAATATGTCATTCACTGCATATGAAATGTACCATTATATGTGCGGCTGTGGCTCTGCAGTAGAGTGGGTCATCCACCGATTGGAAGATCGACGGTTCAATCCCCAAGATACTGAACCCCAAATCGCTCCCGATGGCTGTTCCATTGGTGTGTGAGTGCGTTAAAAACACTCAAAACTGAGTAGCAGGTGGCACCCTGTATGTTAGCCTTGGCCACTAGTGTATGTATGTGTGTGTGAATGGGTGAATGTGACTCGTAGTGTAACAACCGCTTTGAGTGGTCGGATGACAAGTGCAGGTCCATTTACCATATGTTGAAACATCACATTTCTTTACATTTCAATTTTAAATTTCATGTTGTGACCTGGGGGTGATGGGAGGGATTTCTCCATCTTTGCTTTTGATTTCCACCCATGTGGTCATTCATTTTTTATCTCCAGTGGGGATGCTTGTTGAATCTTGTTATCCCAGCTTCTTTTTCCACATTTATTTTTTTTATTTATTTATTTATTTTGTTTATTTTTTTTCTGGGCATTTTAGCTTTTAATTGACAGGACAGTCTAGCATGTAACAGCTGTTAACAGCTGTGGTTTGTGGAAATGTACAATGCCGTTTATACCTGAGACTGCTGGTTTTGTCTATAAGCACAGTCTCAGTCAATACCACAGTTAGCCACAACATGTAAAATACCACTCCAATTATATAAAAACAAGCTGAAAAGCCAGAAATGTATCTGATATCATAATGCTGGATTGTTGAAATAACAGGCTGATGATAAAATCAGTCTTTAGACCAATTTGGAGTTGAATACTGTGAGGCTATATCCGCACAGTGTCTGTCCAGGTTTAGTTAACATTTTTTAAAAAGGACATGAGCATGGTGCATTTATTTGTGTGTTAAAAGTATCATAGTAAGTGCAAGAGACTGTGATTGTATAAAGTGTAGAGTAGTGTGAGTGAAAGACTCTTCTGGTCTGCGTCTGTGCTGCTGTGTGTGATTTATGGTCTAAACTGCCTCTCATATTTTCTCCCTCTGTCACAGATCCTGAATCAGAAGTTGTGGCTCCGGCGATTGTGATCGGACCCAAAGACACAACAGTGGTGGCAGGGAGCGAGGCGACACTGGAGTGTATTGCTAATGCCAGGTAAATTTATTTTATTTACACGCGCGCATGTACACACACAAACACACACACTCACACACGAGTGCCGACAATTCCTTTCTTGCTAGACAGCGCTGTTTTCTTCCAGGGCAATTAGAGGACACCACATAAACTCGTAGCTCAGCAAGTCTCTCCCTCTAGTATTAGTGTACATACACACACATACACACACACACACACACACACACACACACACACACACACACAGACACACACACATGTGTACCAAGTTAACTTAAACAGAAGTTGGATCAAAGTCCCATCAGACATCAGCAGGGAAATGTAACACACCTACTCGTACAAACTTGCCCATTCCAAGTATTGTATAGACACACGCAGACGCACACACACATACTGACGCAGGGGGTGCAGTCTATTCTGACTCAACAGATGTTTTTCAGAGCAACAATAAATTCTGCCTCAGTTCAAGAACTGAGCTGAAATCAGTTTCCGCTCATCTCTTAGATAAACACTGTCCAATCTCCCACTGTGTCCGTGAAAAGACAACTGAGCTCTGGCTTATGTGTGCTTTATGTTAAACAATACAGTTTCTGTTTTGAACTCAGCATGTAGTGTGTTCTTTTATTTCCTTTAAACAAGTGACTCTTTTAGACTCTTTTCTCAAGACAAAGGGAACACTTTTAGTCACAGGGGTTGGCATGGGTACAATATAACTACAATATGTATAACTTCTGCAGTACTTGCCAGTGTTTTCTGTATTACACACTGAATTCACTGAATCTATTGCCAGAGGGTGGAGAAGCAACTGTTTGGCCATTTTTTACCTCCTTTGGGGAGGGCTCTACAGGTCAGCTACCTGCCCTAGAAGAAAACTGCTTCTTGTTAGCCACAGTTGATCCTAGTATACACACGAGGAGAACTTTATCTGTACTTAGCATATTCTCTCAGAGGCATGTTCTTGTATGGATCCACCATTAATTGGAGAGAAAAGTGAGGCTGAGGCTGCTCTGACCAGATAAAAGCACTGCGAGCCTGAATCATCTGATCCCAACAGGTGATATACAGGGCTCAGAGCTTCACTGTGAACTGTTTGTTCAAGGTTTTTGTTGGATTGTGTTACTTAGTCTGGGCTAGACGTGCTGCTCTGATCTGTGAAAGTCGAAGTCTATTTAAATGTTTCTCAGAGGCACTTGACCAGCACTTGACCACCGGGTAGCACTCAAGGTACAGTATGAAAAAACAAGCGACTGAACCACATTAGACATAATACAAGATAGGAATGTACCTACAGTGGGCTGAAAAAAAAATCTTAGCAACAGTAGGATCCATTCCCATCATACAAATAATGAGAAATATGCTCAGGCCAGTCTTCTTTTTTATTGAACACCATGTAATTGGGTCTTTGCAACCCACTCTATTAGTATTACAAGTGCAGACAAATTAGCTCAGAATTTCCTGCATTTCTTCTTCCAGAAACAACCCACTCCACAGGGACTATTTCTGATATCAGAGAATCCACTGAAAGATACTCACTCCAGAGAAATAAGTCTGTATCCAGGGAACAACTGAAAGAAAGAAACTCTTCCATTAAAGTTTGGGGGAAAGAAGAGCACGATCAGTGAAATCAAGTGCAGTGCTGAAGTCTAAAAGCATCTGCTATCCACATCCATTAACCATTAATCAGTCATATGCACCAATACAGTCCTGGTAGAGTGCTAAGATGATTAGGAGTTTGATTGAGCTCAAGCTGTGCCAGTCGGTCTCATATTTAAGGGCTGTAAAATCTACTTTTCTGTCTGTGGATACATTTTGGATTCTTTTGTTGTGGACAGGACCCACTGAGTAAGCATATTAAAATTTTGACAGATCAGTCTAGCCATAAGTTTAATTACTTTTCCTTCCAACTTTGTCTACACCTCGAGGTGTATCGTCTGAGAGAGGCAGCAGCATACTCTCAGCTGTATCCAAAGAAAAGGCAAAACACATTTTATGTCTGACATTGTATTATTTACAGTCGGACTGCATATTAAGTGGACTTGGTTGCATATTCCTCCAACCAACTATGAAAAAACGAGAGTATAATGTGATATCTTACAAATAATGGTTTTATGTCTCTCATAATTACTAAACTGGGCTTACTAACATCCAGAACAGCAGCAGAAAATATGTTGCTGAATACAAGATCTGCCCAAAAATGCAGTTTTTTCCATTTCTTTCCACATCACATACCTTTCAGATTGCTCCTAATGGTCTCACTGCATGTGAACTCAAACAGATCCAAACAGAACCAATCAGAGCTAAGGAGTTAGCTGTCACTCACTGCTCGTGAACTGCGGTCAAACTGTCAAACTAGGCAGTACTGACCAAATATGACTCAAGAGTCTGATACTGCATTGCTTATTTCTCACCTCAAATGTTTTCAGAAAGGTATTTTAGTGTACTGTTTAGCTGAAAAATGAGAAAGTTTGTCCCCCGGTCGCCATGTTGGATACAGTCATCTCAAAGCACTGCCCACTGATTGGAGCAACTTGATCATTTTACAGCTAAACAGTACCCTAAAATACATTTCTGAAGGCATTTGAGGTGAGACATATTTCGGTGTGCTGTTTAGCTGTAAAATGAGAAAGCTGCTCCTGTTGATGGGCGGTGCTTCCAGTTGATTATATCAAACATGGAGGGTGACAAACTTTCTCAATTTACAGCTAAACAGTACACTAAAAAATGTTACTGAAAACATTTCAGGCAAAACATAGGCAACACAGTATCAGAATTTTGACTCATATTTGATCAGCGCTGCTTAGTTTGACATTTGTCCGCAGTTCACAAGCAGTGATTGACTTGAGTGACAGTTCTATTAAAGACTCTTTGGCTCTGATTTTTCGTGGCAAATGCCATGAGAGGCAAAAGGAGGCGGAGGAGAGACATGATTTTTTTCCCTAGACTATCAGTGTCATATAATATTGTGTGCATGTAATGACAGTTTGAGCAAATATGGCAAAAGGGTATTTTATTATAAAAGTTGCCAGCTGTAGCTGAATTACCATCTTGTCTTCACCACCTCCAGATCTCTTATTACATCCTTTGGTTGCTCTATCTGATGTCACGTCAAAGTGATTGCTGTTGGAATAAAAACCAAAGAAATTCTTAGAAGCACAAGTGTTACAATAATAAATGAAAAGAGTGTTACATTGATGACTTTTAAACTAATATATTCTGGGGAGATCACTTGTTCACTATGATAGTAGCTCGTATTTCACACGCAGCCGTCTTTATGCACTGTTTTATGTCTTTCCATGTGAATAATTTCTGTTTGTTTAATGACTCTTACTACATTGGTTTTAACAAACCCCTCTAACCAAGAACCTACTTATTACTTTAAACCAATAAGTAATTGGCTCCAAAATAAATAATTCCTGTTGTTTAATTGCAGCCTTAGCAATGTTTTAATATGTCGTATGATGTTGTATTATCAGTGAGTATTCATATTTGCATCACTACTTTAATTATTTTCACAGCTTACTGTTTGTGGACAAATCCAATAATTAAACTACGACTTTTAAGATGTCCTTAAGAAAATGCATCTGGAAGGCAGTTTCAGCGGCTGATTACATAATTAGTTGTGGTCCTAGTAAATCAGTTGCAAATTTTAATGCAGATTGCTTGTAAGAACATGAAAATGCACCAAAAAAAACTGAGCTGCACTTTCATGAATAGATACAATGCTGTATTAATGCTGTCTTGCAGAAATACACACACAGACACACACACAAAAAGATGTTGTTTTGATGTTGTTTATCCAAAACAAAATTTCACTATACATGAAAACCCATTTCCTTTCTCCAACATCCAGAGTAACTGACTGACGCTCCTTCATGCTGAGTAGAGCTGACTGCTCTGATATACAGACTGTCATCATTCATTTCCTGCCTCATTGACACATAAACTGATGGATTTAATATGTTGTAATTGCCTTCTGTCACTCTTTTCCTTTTTCTCCAATTCACCCCATTCCTGCTATTCTTTCGCTTCTCCTCTATTCCTGTCTTCTCCCCTCAGACCGGTGGACAGCCTTGTGGTGTCATGGAAACGTGATGGGCGTCGTCTGGCCAGTGGGCGTCGGCTCATTATTCCTGCCCCCACCTCCTCTGACACAGGGTTGTATGTTTGTGAAGCGTCGCTTAGCAACAGCACTGCCAAACCTGTGGAGGCAAGGGCACACCTCACTGTAATGGGTAAGCAAAGAAAAGGGCAGTCACTCACACACACACACAAACACACACACACGCACACCGCCTAACATGATTATCTATGATTATCCTGGGTAGGCCTGACCCATCAAGCCTAATGCCTTCAACATGTACCATTAATTTCTATTTTAGCCTCGCTCTTGTCTTTTCTTGTACATTTTTTTTTTTTTTTTTTTTTTTTTTTACTCCAGGCGCTGTTTCACCCTGTTTATTCCTCCATTTATTCCTACTTTTCTCCTGGAAGCATGACTGTGAACACCCCAGGCAGTGACTGTCAACTACAGGACTACTCGAGCTGAATCTGTTGTCCACACTCACCAAGAAACGGCCCATTGCAGTCACAAACAGCTGTTGCATTCATGTACGCACTAATTCATCTATGTGTGCTGACAAACACATGCATATGTGTCACAGTCGCAGTCACAAAAAGGCACCGCAGACACACATGCCCGTTTGTCCGGCGGCTAAATTAGTTTTGTTCCCTGGAGTCGCCAATCAATAAGAGAACACTGAAAGCACTCAAACAGAAGAAGTCGTCGCAATCCACTCCTGTCCTCGATATGTGTGCGTAAATAGAAAACAACACACGCACGCAGGCAGGGAGCGTGTGATTGATGAAGCGAAACTTTTCTCCCCTAGTTCGTCAGCGTCTTTTTGATCTGCTGTGATTGTCGGAGCGAGGGAGCACCTAACACAGAGAGAGCAAACTACCCACGCCTACAGAATACTCACTAGTCAGAAAAGACCTGCCTGAATATTTATACCCCGCTCATTCTCTTTCTGTTCCCCCGCTCACTATCTACAGCCAATTTTTGTACCCTCTTTTTTTCTGTCTTTTGCCTCCCTCTATCTCTCTCTCTCTCGACATTATCTTCCTTCATTAGGCCAACAGGACTGTTAAGGCTTGCCTGGCAGGGACAAAGTCAGCATGCATTCATATGTATCAGAGGAGTAGAGACTGATGAATACATTGGTACTGATCCTCTTTTTCTGCTATGGGCTCAACAGACCTTGATGCAATGAAAGGGATTCCTAAACAGAATAGTGTATGTGTCTGTGTGAAAGAAAGAGACAGCCTCAAAGGTATTCATTATTCAATTTCATTTCTTTTCTGCCCAGGTCCACTAATCAGAATATGTATGACAGACTACTGGTGCAAACAACACTATATCTGTTGTTGTGCTCCATCTTTGTTTTGCAGGCAGACGGCAGAGGATCCACGGAAGCTCAAAGCTCTAAACCCAACCGCCCAAACACTCCAAAATGTGTTGTGTTGTATTTGTGCATCTAGGTCCTTGCACTCACCTGAGTGAAAGCGATTAATGCATCCGTGTTATCGGTGTCACGCCACATGGCTGTTATTCATCTCTTGTTTTCCCGTTCTTCCGTTCACTGCACGCCTCCCTCGTTCTCTTGTCAAAAATCGTGCCGAATTCCACCGTGCACAATAAAGATAGGAGATGCGCACATGTGTGGGTTTAAAAGTAAAGAACTTTAAAGTCGAGAAGAATAAATGTAGCAGCAGCAAGGGAGTCTACTGTGTAGCTGTCCACACACACACACACACACACACACACACATACACACACACATACAGAGCTTGATCAAACTTGCAGTTTGTCTTTTTTTGTGTTTCCACCTCAGTTTACCCATCCACTGTGTGAAGCAATGGAGGAGAAATAGAGAGAAATCACGGAAAGGGATTTTTTTTGCTCCTCTGTTCTTAAGTAGAGCAGCATTAAAATGACAGCACAATGTCAAAACATTACTATTATATGTTATTATTAAACAAGTATGGAGCCTTAGAGAAAAAGAAATGAAATGAGACTTCTATGAAAATGCCTTCTCCTCGTTCGTGAAGAATTATATCTTTGTGACAAGCAGTATACACATTCATTATTTAGTACATACACTGGACATTTCATTTTCCTCAAAGTCATTTTTCAGTGAACAGGTGCCGCTACTGTGTGGAGCCACTTTTCCAGAGATGCCAGACAGAAAATGAATTAGCCAGTCTGTCTCCCTCTCCCCTCTCTCTGGGCTTGCTGTGTCAATATCTCTCGCTAAATTTTAACAAATGTTTTTGAAAGAAATGGAGCGTATGCAGGAGCAGGTAAATTTTTCATAACACGTAGCATTACAGTAATACACCAAAAGGCATATATTCACATTCAAATCGAAGGGAAGCTTTGTCTCACAGCTGCTGTCAGCATTTAGAGCGACAGTGGTGAAGATGTTTAGAAGGAGCAGTTATTGGCAGTGAAATGAAGTAGTTTAAAAGGAGGATTGTTTCCCTAGGGAAACCCAAAGGATGTGTTTTTCTGCGACTGTGTGTGGAAGTCATTTCACAGGGCATATAGACAGAAATCCTGCCTTGCAATGACACTCAAGATACTCAAGGCCAAGAGGGGGATCCATTTTTATTCTGCAGTGCTGTGTTTTTCACTCAGAGTCTCTTCTCTATTAAAAAATAAGCACTTGTAGAGGGCACACTCCCAATTTTTATTTCAAGATTACTTTCAAGCTATGTAATGCTTTTGAAGCCTTTTTGGAGGGCTTTTTATTCGTAGTCCAAACATTGGGTGTTCTTAGTTTTTGTTGTTCACTTTGAGATGTCATTTTATCCACTTGTTTATACAGAACGTGCTGCATATTTAAATGCTTTACTATATGTGTTCTTACATGTTTTCCTGCAGAGCCACCCTCTCTGACTGCTCAGCCTAAGAGAAAGATCCTCGCTGACCTCGACAGGAATGTAGACATCCCCTGCCAGGCTACAGGTACGCTGCATATGTGTGTGTGTAGACTTCAAGGATGGCTTACTTTTTTCCAAGCATGTCTTATGTACTCACATGCCTATATGTACTTTGAGAAAGTTATCGGTGGCAGTAATTGTTTCTCCTACCCATACTGACTGTGAAGAGAGACGTTTCTAAAGTGGTTACAATGTAAGAGAAGGATGACCAAATCCACAGCCTTCGTTCTGTGGAGAATGCATCAGGCCAAACATAATTTAACACCTTCACAGTCTGAGTTAGTCATGTGAGGCAGGTATCTTGCAAATTTATCGCATTTTTAATATGAAATTGTATCTTCTTGTTTTCTCAGACAGTGTTTCCATGCTGAGCTGTGGTGGATAGATAGAACACATACAGCGTATATTGTGTGGTGGAAAAACATCATCATTTTGGAAGATCCTCACTTGATTTGACAAGGCTCTAATTAGCTTTGGCTGAACTTTGAAATGCATTTTTGCACAGAGTGAGGGCTGAGTACTTTGTCCCCTCTCTCTGATATTGGAATTGCATCAGGGAGGGATCTTCACAGTTGGTATGTAGAGGAGAAACAAATACAGTGATAAATAACTCTTAGAGCATTGTGTTAAAATACACTTTAAGGTCTCAGTATGCTTAAAATGGATGAGCTTAAAATCTCAAACTATCTTAGAACAAGGTTGCACGGTATGTGGTCTGATTAGATCTAAAGAACAAAAGTCTTCATACCTGTGGGGGCTGACCTCACTTGAAAAGGCTGCAGTCATAGAAAAGGGTGAGACACAATTTCTTCATTCAGTGGGGTTTCAGGCGGTCTGACAGCCACTTTGAAGCAAACTGAGGCCCTAACTCTGCTGCTGTTTGCAACCAGAGGGGGCAAGACCTGGACCTGGACCTGAATCTGAATCGTGATGAATCTTCACATGAAAACTTCAAATCACAAAGGAATACTTCACCCTCCCTAAATGACCATTTCTGTATCAATAACTCACCTTATGTTACTTTGAATTAGTGAAGAAAACTTTGGTTTTCTCGCATGTCCTCACAGAAATAATCTAAAAATGGATAAATTTCCAGATGAATTGAATTCATACGCAGTCAAAATACTGAAAATATAGCAAAACATCTGTTTACAAAGCCTCACAGAACTCCTGCAGTATAGTCCAAGTCTCACTCATTCAGTTGTATGCTCAGTATTTTCCAAAGACAGTCTTTCCTGATGGGAACTGAACTAAAGGGAAGCTCATCTGTGATCTCTTCAAAGCCAAACTCTATTGACAAAAACAGTAATTTTACCTTGCTGAACATGGGAGCTGCTGGTCTACTGCTGCCTCGATCAGTTAGGTAGTTTGTGTTATTGTGTGACTTTGGTGTTTTAAAGGGTTGGTTCAGATTTACAAAGTCACACAAAACACAAACAAACTAACTGATCGAGGCAGTGGTAGACTAGCAACTCCTATGTTCAGCAAGGTAAAATTACTGTTTTCGTCAATGGAGTCTGGCTTTATAGAGTGAGCATAGACACGTTTAATAGTTCAGTTCATCAGAAAGAGCTTTCTGTTTGGGAATTACTAAGCATACTCGTACTCGTACTCGTCGTCCTCCGCTTATCCGGGTCCGGGTCGCGGGGGCAGCAGCCTCAGCAAAGAAGCCCAGACAGTCCTCTCCCCAGCCACTTCCGTCAGCTCTTCCGCGGGAACCCCAAGGCGTTCCCAGGCCAGCCAGGTGATGTAGTCCCTCCAGCGTGTTCTGGGGCGGCCCCGAGGTCTCCTCCCGGTTGGACATGCCCGAAACATCTCCCAAGGGAGGCGTCCAGAAGGCATCCTTACCAGATGCCTGAACCACCTCAACTGGCTCCTCTCGATGTGGAGGAGCAGCGGCTCTACTCCGAGTCCCTCCTGGATGTCTGAGCTCCTCACCCTATCCCTAAGGCTGAGCCCAGCCACCCTGCGGAGGAAACTCATTTCGGCCGCTTGTACTCGCGATCTCATTCTTTCGGTCACTACCCAGAGCTCGTGACCATAGGTGAGGGTTGGAACGTAGATCGACCGGTAAATTGAGAGCTTCGCTTTCTGGCTAAGTTCACTCTTCACCACAACGGACCGGTTAAGCGGCTGCATCACTGCTGACGCCGCCCCAATCCGCCTGTCAATCTCCCGCTCCATCCTACCCTCACTCGTGAACAAGAACCTGAGATACTTAAACTCCTCCACCTGAGGAAGGACCTCCCCCCTGACCTGGAGTGGGCAATCCACCCTTTTCCGGCTGAGGACCATGGCCTCAGACTTGGAGGTGCTGATTCTCATCCCAGACGCTTCACACTCGGCTGCGAACCGCCCCAGCGAGAGCTGGAGGTCACGGTTCGATGGAGCTAGGAGGACCACGTCATCCGCAAAAAGCAGGGATGAGATCCTCCCATCACCGAACCTGACACCCTCCACCACTCGGCTGCACCTAGAAATTCTGCCCATAGAAGTTATGAACAGAACCAGTGACAAAGGGCAGCCCTGGCGGAGTCCAGCCCTCATCGGGAACAGGTCCGACTTACTGCCAGCCACGCAAACCAGACTCATGCTCCTTCGGTACAGGGACTGGATGACCCTTAGCAAGGGCCACCAACCCCATACTCCCGGAGCACCCCCCACAGGATGCCCCTGGGGACACGGTCGTAAGCCTTCTCCAAATCCACAAAACACATGTGGACTGGTTGGGCAAACTCCCATGCCCCCTCCAGCACCCTGGCAAGGGTAAAGAGCTGGTCCACGGGTCCGCATCTGGGACGAAAACCACATTGCTCCTCCTCAATCTGAGGTTCGACTATCGACCGGACCCTCTTCTCCAGCACCCTGGAGTAGACCTTACCGGGTAGGCTGAGGAGTGTGATCCCCCTGTAGTTGGAACACACCCTCTGGTCCCCTTTCTTGAAAATGGGGACCACCACCCCGGTCTGCCACTCCAGAGGCACTGACCCCGATGTCCACTCAATGTTGCAGAGGCGTGTCAGCCAGGACAGCCCTACAACATCCAGAGCCTTGAGATATCCAGGACGAATCTCATCCACCCCCGGGGCTCCGCCGACTCGGAGTTGTTTCACTACCTCAGCAACTTCTGCCCCAGAAATTGGACAACCCGCCCCCGAGACCCCCGTGTTTCCTCACTGGAATACCTGTTGGTGGGATTGAGGAGCTCCTCAAAGTATTCCTTCCACCGCCCGACAATGTCCCCAGTTGACGTCAGCAGCTCCCCGCCCCCACTGTAAACAGTGTGAGCAAGTTGCCGCCTTCCCCCCCTGAGGCGCCGGACGGTTTGCCAGAACATCTTTGGAGCCGATCGATAGTCTTACTCCATGGCCTCACCAAACTCCTCCCAAGCCCAAGTTTTTGCCTCCACGACTGCCGCCGCTGCGCTCCGCTTGGCCCACCGGTACCCGTCAGCTGCTTCCGGAGACCCACAGACCAACCATGCCCGAACCCACCAGCGGGTTCGGGCATTACCGCCGCGACTGGCCCCAGCGGCCTTGCGGCCACAGCTCACAACCGCCGCCTCGACAATGGCAGAGCGGAACAAGGCCCATTCGGACTCAATGTCCCCCTCTGCCCTCGGGAAGCGGCCGAAGCTCTCCCGGAGGTGGGAGTTGAAGATCATCTGGACAGGTTCTTCCGCCAGGCGTTCCCAGCAGACCCTCACTGTTCGTTTGGGCCTGCCAGGTCTGCACGGCGTCTTCCCCCACCATCTGATC